TAAAATAGACACAAGATTGAGTAAACAACATGGTTTATCCACACAAAAAGCTTGTGTAAATGTGTTTGCTATTCTACCTTATTAAAACTTCAGCTTACTTAAACAAAAGCGAGATGGGATGTAGTTTGAATGTATAGTCCATTAACTAGTGTGAAAGGGTCTATTTGCCAAGGACACAAAATAAAGCCTTAACCAGATACATAAAAATAGAATATGCAGCCATGGGCAGGATGTATGGTTGGAAAAAAAAAAAAAAAAAAAAAAAAAAATTTAATTAGCCTATTTTTTATGTTTCCAATTTTTTATACTCGGATGTAGTACAGAATATAATTGGTAAGTGGATTATGCAGAATTATTTTTCCAGAGTTGATCATTCTTGCTCAGTAATTTACATTTGAGCTGTAAGTGAATGCGGCTTAATGCAGTTTTTTGGCTTAAGGAAGATATGACATTTCCAGGTTTTAGGTCAAAATGTTGCAAGGTTTTACTCTTCGGGCCACTTTGACCTTGTGAAAATCCCCAGATCACCAATCTGCTGCTCATCTAATGGAAGAAGTTGTTGGCAGACAATGTTTTTCCTCCTTGCTTTTTTCATGGCAGTGTTCCTTTGCACAACTGGGAGAAACTCAAGTCCCTTGGATAGGAAATAATGGCCCTTTTCTCATTCCTGTTCTTCTTTTGCTTGCAAATACATTCCCATCCACATACTGCAGGTGTTGGCAGAGCTTTGCACTGGTTGCAACACATTTCCCTTTCAGAAGGTGATGGTCTTAGTGTTTATTTTAAACTGTTGCCTATTTTGAGCCAGCTTTGCAATGGTTGTATCATGCTTCTTTCTTTGTAGTGAAAAGTTGTGAGGTTTGCTGGACAGTCTCTACCTTTCATTAAAATATTTTATAATCCAAAACTCTATTTCGTCAATTTTCAAACTGGCTGCAAAGCCTTTGTGATGTCAAGTAGGGTTGAATGCACATGCAGTTTTCTTATTTCCAACAAAATAAGAAATGATCCTTTCTATCTCTAGATTAGCAGAGAAGTAAAGTAAAGTAAACTGAACTCTTCCAGCTTCACTTTCTTAATTCAATTCAGTGTATCTATATAGTGCCAGTACACAACACATGCCATCTCAAGGCATTTTACAGAGATAATTTAGGGGCTTAAACTGAAATCAACTTTGTTTTGCTAATATATCTGTACAAAACAAACTTGTCTCATGGTGCTTTTCATATTTCCTGGCCATTATTTGGATTTTGCTAAACTAAATGTTATTTTTCTAATGCCAAATTAGTATGTATTTAAAACTAAATATATGTATACCTTATTACCTGCAAAGAAACATGAAAAAGTTTGTGCTGAATAAGTAAACTTGCTTGTACACAAGGCCAGCACACTGGGTGCCAAAGCGGATGCATTTACATAGCTGGCAAAAATGCAGATGTTTATATAATTCTGACTGGTATGATAAAAGGTCTAAATAATGTAGTGTAATGTGTTGTTTGGGGCAGATTCAAAACAGTTTGTTCTGCCCAAAAGCCTTTTTGTTGTTTGTTCATTTATGGCTCTTATTATTACATGGGGTTGCCAGCAGGCTGCAAATAGCATATGCATGGGAGCCAAAATCTTATTATATTATAAGTACAACATTCCCGGGTTCTGCTAAAAGATGTGGACTTAATTCTTCCAGATGAACATAGTGGCTAATTAAGCTGACAGATTGGCACCATCCTACACCCAAATATCCGAGAGGGCCGTCACTCATCCAGATTAACCTCATCAATCGTGTAATTCAGCCCTTCCGCCTCTTTGCAACTTAGTCCTGTTGTTTCATGTCAGCTCACTTCTACCAGCTTTTTCTCATCTGTGCTGACAGTGATGCCCTAGCCTGTGGTCTATAGCCAAATTTTGGTTTTCTTCTTTACCTTTCCGTAAAGATGTCTAAAGATAAGAAGCTTTTATGCTTGGGATAGATCAACATCTCAAGCATAATTAGCATTTATGTTAATTATACTAACATTTATAGATAAACAAAAGGTAAGTGTAGAAATAAAACCATGGCCATTACTATAGATTTTCAAACAAGCTAATGCATGAGTAGAAATGACAGATAAGGTCCCAGGAAGAAAATGTAAGTACTAATCCGGGTCCCGGTATTATAAATCTTTCTCTAAGCAGCATATTAAACCACCTCCATGTTAATGGAGTTTGATCTGAGGTAGATCAGCTCTGTCTTATTACATTACAAAAGTGATTAAGGTTAAAACTGCACATGTTTATTGTTTAATGTGCATTTGTTGCACCAATGTCTTCTTGGCCCACCTTTTATCAAATGAGTGCAAGTGTTATTTGTTCACTGTTTCAAACACTACTAAAGTGGGAGAGAGAGAATTCCTAAAAGTATAACGTTGTCTGTAAATGTCTGAAATTCAGTCGCCTGCTGGGAAACTTGTTGCATTCTCATGCTGTTTTCATGTTGCAGAATAAAGCCCCCCCTCAGTACACACCAACTTTGGCTGTAATATACGAGTTGTTGTTTTTTTTGACGGTCACCAACTGTTTTCTTTCTCTTTGTTCTGCTTTGAATTTTTTCTACTTTTAATGGATTAGTAATCCAGCTAAGAATATTAATCCTCAGATATCTTGTTTGCATTTGAGGCCCCATGATGATTGAGAAAATAAATTAAAAAAACAAAATCCAAAGCTGTCATGTATGTAATGCCATAAGCCATGATGTTAATTTTGAGCACTGAAGACCAATGTCCAGGCTGTTTTTCGGTGAACATTGATAGAGGAGACACTTTTGCTCAGCTGTACTCTCCAACTGATGCAAACCCCCTTCTCACAAGACCATCACGAGACACTCCCACAGGGACATGCCCTCCTCTACTTGGGGACGAACCAACTACTTCATGCTCGTCTCATCCTCTTTTAGTCATCTAAGAAATTGCTCGAGTAAGAATGAAAAAGTACTTGGTAAAATCGCTACACAAGCAAAGACTATCATCACAGAGATGTGAGTGAGCCAAACCCTCTGACGTCATGTCTCTTGAAAAGTGCGGCCATCTCATCGGTCTTTTTACCCTGGACTGGCTGGTCTAGAAGGCAGTCTTCTTTTTCCCCCCAAGGTTTTATTGTCATTATGCGGGCAATAAAGATTCCAATATATTTTAACCTGTCTGTGATTATTCATTCAGTAAACAATTTATCACTGAGAGCCAGATCCATCCAAGACAAAAAGAATAAGGCAAAAAAATCACTGCCTCAGTCTCTCCTTATAGATTTCTTTAGGTGGGTATAGGTTTCTTTCTGAAACCCAGTAGTTCAGTCAGATGCAGCTTTCCATTATAAAAGTAATATACTTTGAACTCGATGATTGAGAAGACTTGCATTTAAAAAAAAATGTTTTTCACTGTGTACTTTCTCTATTTTTGTAGATTTATTTGTTTTGTAAATTAAACTTTAAACCATTCTTGGATTGATTTGCAACAATTTCTGTTCTAAAGTCAATGCTGCAGTCTATTTATTTTGGCATTGTGTTGAAAATCACACACAGGCACAGACCCACATCAACACACAAGCACCTTTCTATATCCTTGTGGGGACTTTCAATCGACTTCCTTTCATTCATTAATTTCTAACCCATTTCTACAGCCTAACCATGACCTTTACCTTAACCCTAACCATTACGGGTTCATACCTAACCCCAACCTAAACCTTTTATAAAGGTGGTCATACTGATGTGAAATTGTCTGAGTGTAAACCTTTGCATTGTAGGAGGGCCTAAAATATGTTACCGGCTTCAGGATTTTATCTATACACTTTTTCTGTAAAGAATTGTAAAATATTCTTAAGCCTTTGTTTTAAGTTTTCTGTTTCTGTTTTCATAATTGGAAATTGTATAAACATATACGCTCTACTTACAGAACTCCTCAATCATTGGGTTTTTTGTTTGTTCTTCCTTTGTGCATTTCCAGGGGGAAAAAAAAAACGGCCTGATTTCTTGTGTGTGCTTCCACATTGATATAGGGAATAAATCTTTTACAGCTGCCAATATCCCAGCCAAACCAAAAATAAACACCCTCCCATCATGCATGTCATATTTCAGCAAGAGATCGCCCAACTCTATCAATGCTATTCAAGAACGAGTTTTGTTTATTTGCTCACAAAATATTACTGAGATACAGTCAGAATACTTTCAAGTCACCTAATTGGAAAACAACATAATACTAGAGGCTGTTGTGTTTTTAGGATAATTTACAAAAAAAATGCACTCACCAGGTACATTCCGTTATAGCTTTACAATTGTATCAGCCTGATTTTCTTATAGAATTACTTACATCCTTTTACGTTCTTCACATTTTGTCCTGCAATGACCACCAACTGCATTGTTTTTATATGAATCCTATGAAAGAACTGTACACGATATTTAGTATGTTCAGTGCTGAACTGATTGTGGCCCAATCACAAAACTATTAGGACCTATCAAAGAAAAGGGCTTTGGGATCAGTGGAAGTAATGTAAGCTGGACAGTTATTAGTCAACAATAATGAATGGTTAGGCATTGTAGGGACAAAACCAGTCAATGACTAAGCAAACAAGAGGCCCCGCGGCAATAAAGTATATTATTGTAAGATTATAGTTTAAATCAAAACTTCTGTATCATAGAAGTAAAAATGTGGGTTGTTGTTAATCACCTTTTCAAAAGAAGCCACTGCATTAAATTCTGCATAAATTGCAATAAATAAACCAATATAAAGAAAAATTACTCACCAAAATCTGGCCCCCGCACTGTCAGCTTAAAACAGCTCTGCCCCGGAGCAAATTTATTTAATGCTCCCCTGCTTAAAATCAAAGAACACTTTATTTTTTCTTTTTGCTCCCAAAAGGAGATTCCCATTTACCAACTCCTTTGGGTTTTTTTTTTTATTACCTTTATTTGAAGTTAATGATAAATTACATCATCAATTATGTCTAATGGACCTGGAATGTTTGTTTTCCTACAGGCCTTTTGGAAGGAGAATGGCTTCTCTGGAGAAATTGTGACAGGATCTTCCACTGACTGTCCATTCTGTGTCACCTTTGATGCCACCAGCCCACGTGGTAACCCAGCTCTGGTGGGCTTTATTTCTGGCCAGCAAGCTACTTTTTGGACTACGAGAGAGGTAAAGTCAGTATGCGGTGAGACCTCTCTAATCAGATCTTTAGAAACCTTTGTTTATCCTGTTACAGTTACCTTCCTGCATAAAGCAGTTGCTCTTTTAGACTTGTTTGATATTTGATTTCAATTCAGTATGATCTAATGTGAAGCCAAGGTAAATGCTAATGGAAATATTAGGAAAATAATATGTATTCTGAATGGGTTTAAAAAGCCCAAATATTTGGCAGGAATAAGAGGTCATAAAACTGTTTTCAAACATTTATTTCCATTTTCTCTAAAAACAGGCCATATTAGCATAACAGAGAAGATCATTTGATTTTGACATCAATGTTGTGGGTTCTTGCAAATTTTTATTGTGTGTAGAGACAAAGTCTGAACATTGCATCTTGTCATAATAGCAATATAACGCGAGTGCAGCTTTAAGAAAATTGCATCCACAACTGAGAATGGGGGTGCTTTGCTGCAGCCAGCTCATAATGGCTATTACTTCTCAAACTGTAGGAGATAAAAGCATTTTTAAGTGGTTGAAAACTACAAAGAATGCTTGGGGAATTTATGTCTAAGTACCATTTTCTTTGGACGTCTGGAGGCTTTAGTTCGGGATAGATCAGCTGTTAATTGGAGGGAGTATGTTTATTTCAGATGCAATATGAAATAAAGGATTATGTTATAGTTACTCCAGGAAAAAGTCAATCATAATGAAAGAGCTGTCTTTGGCTTTGTTTTCAGTTTTTTTTTTTTTTATGCAAGCAACTTCCTGCTTATTTTTTTCTGTATTGAGCAGGGTATTTTTCCTATATGTAGCCAATGAAAAAGCTGTTGTTTCTTTTTACTTTTGTATTTTATTGTAGCTGGGACGAAAAAATGATAGAGATATATATAGACAAATATGTACATGTATATGTACATATACATAAATATATGTACATATATTTATATATGTACATATAAATAGTGTTAAGCTGTGTATTTTTTATTTCAAATGAAGTCACAGGTGGAGCTATCGCTACCAATGAGATTATATATTACTTATTTTTCTCTGCTGAAAGTACTACTTTTTTCCTCCTCCTGTTATGTTTACTAATGTACAGGCATTGATGGTGCAATTTAGTGCCACCCCTGAACAAATTGGGGTGCAAAATGTTATTTTACTTAGTCAACACCCTCATGCCTCTTTCCATACCAAATGTATCATATGTACAAAATGACTGTATAACAACATGGAATTTAACTTGACTTTTATGAATTATTAGTTAATAAAAAACTGCATATAGAATACATTGATTGTATTTCAGTCAAATGAGGTAGAAAGAAAATTAACCTGAAATATATAAATACTTTAATGAAACATTTCCACCAAAAAATAAGAATAGAATTTCAGCTTAAAAATAAATACACATTTTCAACCTGGAATAAATGAATAAGTAAAAAAACTTAGTTAATATGAAATAAATTACTAAGAAAGAAAGTAACTTGTAAATTGTTATATTTTTATGCTTAAACCACATTCACTTTCTATCAATGTTTCTCGGTAATCTACTCAAAAGATTTCAGTTACTGACAGATAGTGATATTTATCTCCTTAAAAGGTTGGACATATTTTATCAGCATACACTGATGTAAAATAAAAGCCAATATTTTATATATTGGCTAAAATTTATAGCTTATGCGACAACCAACTCTTTTTCAACAGAGGTGAGTGGATAGGGCATTAGAATGGCATTCAATAAATTATTTTTTTACTACCTAAATACAATGAAATATCACATAAAATAAAGGCTTGTATTGATCTATTAATTTTTTGTTCACATCTACCTAAATCTAATTTTCTATGTAAAATGGATAAAGTTGTTCACATTGATACAAAACTTAAAGGTTCATTAGGGTTTATACATATTTAAACAACCACCAGCAAAATCTCCTAGTTTATAATTCACTGTACTTTTATTGACAAAATATCTCATATTTCGGTAGTGAGCATACATCACATGCTTCCTGAAAATCAACCCACAATTCAGCAAGCATAGAGCTAGAATTATAATGCTGTGAAACCGTGATATTTTTGCTTAGGGCTATCTTACCATCAGAATTTCTTACCGGCACACTGTCACCACATACTTGTTCAGGATAAAGCAATGCTGCAGATTCTAAAAACATCAGGGCAAATTTAGATAATCTGAGATTTCCCTTATTTAGAATGAGCTGCAATAAACAGATTTAGATATATATCTAACTGTAGGTTGTGATGTATTGGAATATATTTGCCTGATTAAATTTTTAATCATTCAATTGTCTTTTTAAAAGGCTTTACACAAGATTTGTCTTATATTACAACTTTGTACATTCACTCAAACGGTTTAAAAATGACTGGAATTTTAAAAATGTAATTTCGGTTTTTTTGTAAGACTGTAGCTATATCTGTAGAAACTAATCTCTGATTGAGCATTATTTTTAATATTAAGTCTTGAAATTTTTCAAACAGGTGTAAGCATATTGCCTCTTCACCAGTTCTCATAGGCTTCAACATCATAACTCTTCTTCTCCCTTTTCTGGCTTTTACCCAAAGATAAATATACAAGTTCCTTTTCGGTCTCTAAGGTTATTTTGCAATTTAGGTCATTTTACTGACTTGCTCCAAGGCTATGCAGTGGTATTAGTCGTCACCCTGCAGAGAAGCAAAATGGTCTTAATAATTAACCTCCACTTTCTACACCATTTCCAAACACAGAGGAAAATCTGGTAGCATGGGATTGGAGTGGACAAAAGGGTTAAATTATGCACAGTATGTGCTGTTTGTTTTATATCATGCTCTTGTTTATAGGACGTGTAATTTTTTATTTGTACACTTGTGTTTTAGGTTTATTTCAGCTGTTTGAGTTTTAGGTCACTGAAGGTTTATTCTGATGCTTCCTTCTGGACCATAAATGGCAGCAAACACAGTAGATAGGTCTCTCTGGGCTCTGTGCAGTTCAAGGTTCTAAATTAAACAATGTCACATATCCGACCTGGTGTTGCATCTAAAAATAGTGCGTGGGGAACTAACTTTGGTTCATTTGATCTTCTTGCTGTGGATTTGGTATGTATAACTGGTTGAATACTCAATATGTCCATCTTTTGGAACTTATCTGCTGTACATGTTTTGGATCAGTGAATCGAAAGCTTTGCACCTGACTCAGATCCCTCTTCACCATGACAGTCTGATACAGCAACCGCATCACTGCCCCCGCCGTACCGATCTGTCTAGTGGTGTTACACTCATCCATCCATCAGGCGTCCTTGCTCCTAGAAATTTTGTCTGGAAATGTAATGAACAGAATCAGTGACAAAGGGCAGCCCTGGCTGAGACCACCATGCACCTGGAACAGATCTGACTTACTGCCGGAAATGCGAACCAAGCTCCTGCTGCGGTCACACAGAGAACGGACAGCTTTTAGCAGAGTGCCCCAGACCCCATAATCCTGGAGCACCCCCACAAGGCAGCATGAGGGGCAGGGTTGAACACCTTCTCCAGATGCACAAACACATGTGGACTGGTTGGGCGAACTCCCACGAACCCTCAAGCTCACAATGAAGGACAAAGAGCTGGTCGAGTCTGAAGCAAAAGATACGAAAACCACATTGTTCCTCCTGGAACCGAAGTTCGACTTTAAGCCGGATCCTCCTCTCCAGCACTCTGAAGTAAACTTTACCGGAAAGGCTGATCAGTGTGTAATTGGTGTGTAATTTGAGCACACCCTCCTATCGCCACTCGATGCTGCAGAGATGTGTACGCCAATACAGTCCTGCAACATCCTGAGTATTTGTCCTGTAGCTACTCAGGACAAATCTCTTCCACCCCTAGGACCTTTTTACCAAAAGCCTTTCTACCTCAATGACTTCACCGGGCGAGGCCGCCTCTAAGTCCCCAGCCTCTTCTGTTCCGAAGAGTTGTAATAGCAAATTAGCTTCAGGCAAATCAGTAAGTCAGACTGAATAATTGTTGTTTCTACTCCTCCTCATCACCCAGAATTTTTGGGTATGTTAAAATGTAGATACGTACAGGGAGTTGCCTCATTTATGCTCATATAAACCTCTTGCTGCAGCCAGGTCTTTGTAAGACAATATAAAGTTGGATTATCACAAATTAAGTCATTAACTAAAAGGCTTTTGGAAGAAAGAGATCTTATGTTAAGTAAACCACATTTAAAGCTACAGTGTGTAATTATTACAGGGATATACAGTCAGAAATGTAATATATTACACATAACTGTTATTTATCATCATCTACCAGCTCAGCCTCTTAACCTTAATATTTGCGTTGCCTTAGAATTCGTTATTTATAATTACATAGGAGCGGGTCTCGCAGCCATGGAGGCAGACATCTTTGCGCTACGGCAGTGCAGAGCCAACAAACTAGCGATTGCAAGATCGCCCATTACGCTCGAAAGTAACTACGGCAAGTTGAGAGAGATGAACTGATACGGTACTGAAATCTATACCCTACACAGACTAATGAAATACTATCTGTAAAATTATCTATGTAAACAAACCTCATCACTTGAGGAGGTAGGTGATGCGGACGTCGTGGAAGACATTTTGTCCCATAACGCTCGCCGTACTATTGGGGGGGAGAAGCGGTGGGGGGGAGATGTTCATGTTGCTGCAGTCTGCAGCCTGGACGTTAGATGTAGCTGAAAATTACACACTGTAGCTTTAATAGTTTTTAAGTTTTTCCCCTATTGGAGTCATTTTAATTTTCATTAGATTACCATAATATACTCATTTACGAATATTTTGTAATGTATTAGATTTTGATTGAGGGCAAGACACTGTCTAGATGGAATGACAGTAGGGAAGCTACAGGGAAGTGTGTTAAATCATGAATTTGCTTGCTGGTTTTCACCCTGGGATGTCAAAACAAGATTTAATCATGATCACTTTTGAATTAAAGTTCCTTTAATCATTCATGCTGTAGCATTATGTAACCCTGTTATATTTAAAGTTTTAACAAGAATTTCAATAAACATCAATTTTCAATGCAATTTTAGAGTGTTTGATGAACATCCGATGGCCACATCAGACATAGGGAGTTGAAAAAGAAAACCCTGGATACCTTGGTTAAATTCTGTTTAAAACTCCTTCAGCTCTGTGTTTTCACTATGAGTACAAAGAGGGGTGCCAATGATCTTACACAAAGGGGTTCTTTTTTTCTTTGTTATAGTTTGATTGGTCATAAACAGGGAGGCAGCAGAGAAAAATGCAGCACAGATGAACCAGGCAAGCCTTTAATCCGACACTCTCTGTACAGTATGCGACCTTATCTCTGTTCTTTCTTTGTCAGTTTGTCCATCAAAGCCTGAACAATTTATCCATATGTGTTTTTCTGTGCTGCTCTTTTTACTTATTTGTTTATATTTTCTTCTTTTGACTTTCATTTTTCTCCTTTGAAGCCTTTTGTTTCCATTGTTTTGCTGAATGTTCTAAAGGCCAGTTTCTCCATTTTAATATTTTCCTCTTTTATTTTACTTTTGGAATTATGTGTTATTTGCTGCTTTCTGATAACTTTCTTTATTTATGTCTCCATTCTCAGCTAAAATGTGTTTTCAACTTAATTTTTTGATAGACTTCCACACTGAAAGGTAAAGCAGACACTCCATAAATAAATTATAAATGTCACATAGGTGCTGTAGGACCTTACCTTGCCACAATTTTTGTATAAATGTCCAAGCATGAGATTGTAGGGAAAAAGCTCTTGTTAAATAAAAAACAAAAGAACTGGTTGTCATAAAAACATATGTAATAAACAATGAGCTTTGAACATGTAATAGTAATATTAAGCAATCTACATACAGTATATGTATACAGATCTTTGCATTGGTTGAAGTATTCTGGGCTTTTGGTCATAATTGCCTGAAAGAAGCTGTGGTTAGACACATGCTTAAAAAATAAAAAAATAAAAAAAGACGAATGCGCAAATGTATATTGATGTTGATATATACAGATATATATTTTTTTGACTTTGGACTCAAACTCAGTAATGTAGGAATCAGGAAGACTTTTGTGATAAAGAATATAGGAAGGAGAAGGGGTATAAATAAATATGTTTTTTCTTCATAGCCTTTTCAGTAAGATTATATATATATATATATATATATATAAATTATGCAAATATTATTTATTGCTTGATGAAATTAAGCATTCTTTCATTGATGCATTTATTCGTACATATCTTATACATTTTCACAGATTGTAGCATTAAAGCCTAAAACTTCAGTGTATCAAATGGGGTTTAATATGATTGACCAACAATAAATGTTGCATAATTTTTAAGGACTGCTCTCAGATTCAGAATTTGTAGTCAGCCTCTTTTAAAATTTACAATTACCATCAGAAATCCATTAATTAGTTAACGGAGTCTAAATGTACGGAAGAGGATTAGGGCCACTGAAAAATAAAAAAGTTAATTGATTTTTTTTTTATTTCAGTATAGTATGGGAAAAAAGTCAGAATTCTGACTTTAATCTCAGAATTCTGACTTTTTTCTCAGAATTTTTTTATTGTCAGTATTCAGTCAGAATTCTGAGATTAAAGTCAGAATTCTGAAAAAAAAGTCAGAATTCTGACTTTTTTTCCCATGTTAAACTGAAATAAAATTAAAAAATCAGTGAACTTTTTTTTTTTTTTTCAGTGGCTCTAATCCTCTTCCGTATAAATGTGTGCTTTTTTCTTAGTAAAAACAAGGACGGCACAATATTAAAGAATATTTTAATTGTGATGTTATAAGTCAAATTTCCAAATTTTCTCTGACTATTCCTTATCTCTTTCCCAGCTGCTCTTCCTTTGATGTCTGTGATGTTTAGTAAAGTGACCTATATCACTATTGTAGTGACACTATCCAACTGAGTAGATATCTTGTTGGCATGCAATGTGTGAACTCGAACGGTTGAAATATACTATCAATGGAATGGACATGCACACCATAGTTTCAGATTTCAATTTGTAGAAAAATACATATCACAATTATGCAGAGAAAATCAGTTTTTACATAGCACCATTTTTCATTTTTATGCACTTTATAGGAATTAAATAATCATCATACTTATGTACTAAAATATTTCTGTGTAGCAAATGTGAAATTTCAAGGGGTATCAATTCCTTTGCAAATCCTGCGGGATACTCCTTGTTAGGAAAATGTCTTGCATCACAGATCACGCTTAAATACTAAGATGATGGGAGAATATTAAAAAGAAGATTTTTTCTTAAGATAAAGTAAATAAAAATCCCCATTTAAGCAATCTATTTAGTAGCAAACGTAAAACGGGTATAAAACAAATTGAGTTTGTTCCAAGATGCCATTTAGGAAATAGTCGTCGATCTAAGGGAGCAGCAGGATGCATTTCATTATCACTTTGATTCAGTCCTCCATCTGATCCAAGCTTCACTGCATGTCATTCAATCATTCCTTCTTTTTTTGTATTCCTCATACTTATGATTTTATAAGGCTCATGCTCGCTGTAGTGGTTGCTTAACAACAACAAAATCTCTCTCTGAGCTTGAAGAAATACTAATTTGCATTATTTCTTTGGCAGTATGCTGCTGTGCTTTTAAATGGTAAGCACTGATGATACAAAGCTGAGGCTGGCTTTTCTCTGTGTTTGCAGGCTGGAGAAAGAAGGGAAGCTGTGCTCTCCAGTCTGGTGAAGTATCTCGGTCCTGAGGCTGCATCATGCATCCACTATGAAGAGAAAGTAAGCTTTTCAGTAGTCAAAGTGTCTGTTGTTATATTTCAAATATTTTTGCTTTGAAACCAATATTTCAACCCCCTCGAGTCATAGGTTACTCAGTTCCATGAAAGTGTGGCATGCCAGGATTTAACAGAAGTGGTGAAGCTGTACTCATCTTTGTTAGTGCTTAAATAGTTGTGAACATGACAACAGAAACAAAGGTTGAAGTAATAAAATGAAACCTCTAGCCATGGCTAAAACTTAGCATTAAAATTCACATTGTTATACTGTCTCCTCCGAGCACCTCAGAGCCATTCTGTTGTTTTTGTTATGTTTTTGCAAAATCAGCTTTTTTGCAGATCAATTGGAATTCATTCCTTATATTTATTTAAGGGATTTATGACAGTGTCAGTGACTGCTAGATGCCCTGAGGTTTCTCATATAAAAATGTAAGAATTGCATGGATCTATCAGTCAAATTGACAAAAAAAAACCAAAACAAATCCAGCCATATGAAGCTGCCTATAGAATAAACATGGAGACATTGTTCTACCTTTGAAAAGCCTCAGTTTAATTACTTATAGATGCTTATATATTTAAGGGACATAAAAACAGACAGCTGGTTATATTTCAGATTATAAAACACTTGCGTTAATAACTGTATGCATGCATGCTATTGTTGAAAAGAGGTAAAGAAGTACTTAGCTCATGGCTTTAGTTCAAAAACTGCTGTAGATTTAGAGGGATTCAGAGTCTCAGTGCAAAACATGAAACTCTAGTTTTACCATGAAGAAAGAGGAAGTCACTTACTTTAACCACTTGCTAGTAATGATGCCATAAATGCAGGATGATGTCTTCATCCCTTATGCTCATCCACTCAATGTGCCTCTGGGGATAAAGCGTGTCTGTAGGTTATATAAGGAAACTATCGCTAATATATAGGTTAGCCGCATTTGTGCATGAAATATAATTTGTTCTATGAATAAAAAATCTTCCTCAACAGCATTCTATGGTGATAGGATAGACCTAGCTGACATAGAGATAATTTAATCCCACACAGCGGGCATGACTCAACTTGGCGCCAACCGGCAGAGTTCTGATTGGTCTGCCCATATGGGGTCTTCAGTTACATTACTACAGGCAGAGCATGACTCCTTACCCCATGACCCGCAGTAGCTCCAGGCACACTGTCAGTAGGATTGTCACTCACTGCAAAAAATCAAAATCTAGATACGTCCTTTTTTCTTAAAATAAGTGCATTTGTTCTTGAATTGAGGAGGTAAAAGAGACATTTTGTCAATGGAACAGGACAATTTACACTTAAAATAAGAAAACACAATTGCATTGTCTTATTTTAAGTGCATATTATCTAATTATCTTATTTTAAGAGTAAAATTACTCATTCCATTGGCAAACTATCTCATTTACCTACTCAAATTAAGGGTAAATACACTTAATTTAAGAAATTTTTAGCCTAAAATGATGGGACATAGTCTAAATATCTGGTAACTCGGTTTGCAACTGTAATTGTAATGATTACAGTATTAACTAACAATGATAATAATAGTTATAATAATTTTAATTATGAAGCTTTTTTTTTACCAGAGCTTAACAAATTCACTCACGTGACTGCATTCAAACACATATAAAATTTATGCGGAACTTTATGTTGTGCGTTCAATAAGTATTTACCTATTTGCTATTTCTAAGCTTGCAAGTCTTTGTTGCTTACTAGTCAAAAACTGTGAAAACATTCCAACAGCAGTCATGAATTTACCATAGGGCCGCATTTTCACACATTTTTACTCACTTTATTACTGATGCATCTCAACCCTTTGGTAGAAAAGGGTGTGCGTCGTATTACCGTGTATATGCACCCTTTGTAAAATGGCTTCCTCTCAGTCCTTTTCCAGTTTTCTTGACATGAATGTTAATATTTAACATGCTTTCCGGGGCCTTTGGATTCTGAGACGAGGCCCTTTCATCTTTAACGGTCTGACAGTGTGAATTTTCTGGGACATCCTCTCCTGTGCTAAATTGGCAGCTGTCAAATGTTTCCCATTTGTGAAAAAGCTCTCTGCAGTAGGCTTTTGGTTATTTGGAACTTGCCTTGTAACCCTTTTCCAACTGATGGACAGCTGTGGTTGCTTTTCTAAGGTCATTCATGTCTTCCTGCTGTGTTTCACACATATTAATCTTCCAGACCAGCATACTTGAGATCAAGGCATTTATACAGCCTGGACGAGTTTTGAAAAAATTAAAAGGAAATCCGATTGCAGTATTTACCAGGTCTAAAAACTATGAAAACAAAGAATGGATAAATATCTTCTTTTTTTTTTTAAGGTTGAACAGTTTTTTCTTTGTTTTCCTCCCACCTTTTTGCGTTCCTTGTTTTCTCCACTATGCTCTTTTTTTATTTTTCTGCTTCATGTATTCCTTCTTCCATCATTTGCTCCCTTCCTCTCCCTTGTTCTTCATCCCTTTCTTGTAGCCTCCCTCTTCTTTTCTAATGTCTCTTACCTTTTAATCCTTAATTTTTTCAATGTCCTCCCTATCTTCTTTCTGCTTGTCCTTTCTTGTGTCTATTCCTTTTTTCAACACTGTCCTTTTTTCCCCTCCTTCCTCATGACTCATGCTTTACATTCTTCCATCTTTGCTTCTTTGTGTCTTTCCTTATGTACTTAATTTCTGTCTTCCACACTGATGTTCTGGGATTTAAAAGGTTGTTAAGTAACACTGATTTTCACTCTTCCAGAGGGAAAAAAATTGTTTTTACTTCTAGAAATGTAATTAGGATTCAATATTTCCCAGCTGTTCAGGGGGGAGGGGGAAAGCAGAAGCTGTGCTTGTCCGACCAAAATGGTTTCCCTTTAAATCCATGAAGCATAGGTGGGAATAGTGCAATAATACAAAGAAAGAAATACCTGCTGGGAATATCATTTTTACTCTAATCATGTTGTGTCACATACAAACACAACAGCTATTTGGCTCCATTACATGATGCATAGCATATATTGATTGAATGTGAAACAGTACATTAATCATGCTAGATGCGTGATTCTAGGTCCTCGAATGATTTTCATATACTGTGCTATCGAAAGCAAAGCTCCAGTGGAAAAGCGCCTTAAGCAAACTCTAGGCAGTAACATTAAGGGAGATATCATGATTCTACTTCGCTGACAAAGAGACTCAGGGGGGCCGTCACTTTTAAGAACAATTACTTTGAGTAAAGAAAGAGTAATGAATGAAAGCTGCTTAGCTGACAGAAAGATTTCCCCAGATTTTTATGGCTGCTAAATTGTTATCAGATTTCTTCACTACCTTCTTTTAATTACTGTTATCCAAACGTCACCGACGATAAATGTACAGCAGAGAACGCCTTTAAGTTCAGAAGATCATTTTAATTTCTTGTATTCGTCTCACTGGGCTCTGAGGGGTTTCGTTTCTCTGCTTTTCCATTAAGCTGGAAAATTACAGGTTCATGTTAGCGAGTTAACTTGGACCCATCAAATATTCAGAGGGTACAGTGTTTTTCCTTTTTTTTTCTTCCATCCGAGTTTACTGCTCTATCAGGAGGTTGGTAGTGCTTTGCTGGGTAGGGATAGATCAGCCGTTCCATTCCACATACAGTATATACTTTGAAATTCCCCTCATTTTTTTTTATATTTCTTCATCTCTCTATATGATTGAACACATTATAGCGCCCATATAATGCTCTGAGTGACCAATAAAAATGCCAAGTTATGTGACTTAATGACGACACAAAGCAATAGCTTTTAAGCTTTCCAGCAAAACACTTTAAAGGCGCCTAATTCAAAGCTTTCAACACTGACAGTTTTATTTGTCACGTAATCACCGCGAGTATTTAAGCTGCAGAGGACAATTTTAGAAATTGCTACAGTTTGCTACGCTGTGCTGTTATAGAGGAGCTTTGCACTCTAAAAAGAAAATGCAAAACTAACTTGCATAAATTTCTTCAATTTAACAAGTAATTGTATTAAGTTTGGCCAAGTTCATTTCAGCTTTCGACTTATCTACTAAAAACACGAAGTTGGATCAACTTGATTCAATTACTTGTTACTAATTTACTAAGTTGGAGCAGCATCAGAAGAATCAGAATCTGTTATTTTGGTCATTGTTCCTCAAGGTTAAAATACATTTTTTTAGCAGCTCAAAACAATACAAAACAAAACAGTGCAGGCAAATAGTGCAATAAAAAGAAAATAAATGAATATTATAAGAAAAAAAGTTATGAAAGGAATATGCAGAATATTAAAGAAGAAAAAAAATATATATGCAAGAATATTTACATAAAAACTAAGGCATTGCACATGAGAATACTGCACTTATACAGCTGGGCTTGGAGAGCATTCATGTCCCGAATTTTCTGAATTGCTCTTCTGTTGAAATATTGAAACTCTCCTTAATTATTTGTTTTATTAATGTAATTGACCGAAACAAAGTGGAACATAATTATACGGTTCAAGGAAAATTATTTATTTTTTTTAATACTTTTTTCTTTTATTTGTATTAATCCCCCTTTACTCGGAAAGTCCTCAATAAATCTAGTTCAAAAAAATTGCCTAAATAATTCAGAAAGTCCACCAGGCCTTAGAAAGTCAGTTAGAGATCATTAAAGGACATTAAGCATCATTAAAACCACAACAGAGCAAACTATCATAGGTGTACAAGTTTATCATGTAATAAAACTTATATTGCTTTGAACTGGCTGGCACTAGCAATTTAGAGGACAATGCAACCATTTTAAAAAAAAAAAGGTTCTTTAGTTTGATTATCCAAAAAGTAATCTTTTATTTAAGCCTGAATCCAATATATGAACAAATACTACTTTGAAAGTAATAGCCACAAGGTTAACCTGTCCCAGCCAGTAATTTGCAAACTGAATGAATTAATTATTTAGTATTGCCCTGAACTTCCAACAAATATGTTTTTTTAATGTTTTCTTAAATCATTGTGGATTTTCATTTTCAATTAAATAAAAATGTGATGCATGTTTTAGTCACAAAACTCAGACCTAAAACTTTGCTGTTCACTGTTTAATATATACATCAATTTGAAGGCTGCGACATCGTCATGCAGTTGCTCCATCTGTTTCCCTGTCTTCCTCTGACTCTTTATCAGTGTTTCAAGGTGTTGTCAGATTCAGGATCATCTTTCTCTCCCTCCCAAACATTCATTTCTTCTGTCTTAGATTTCTCATCCGTCAGCTCTCTAATTTTGTCTGCCTCTCCCTCCTACTCTCTCAATCTTCCATGTTTTCATTTCATGCCTTACTCCTGCGTATCAAACAAAACAGAAACAACAACAACAAATTCATTAAAAACTTTAAATTTTCTTGGTAAAAAGGAAAAAATATTCTTCAAAATTCATCCTTCTGAATAAATTTGACACATTTCTTATCAGTAATCCATGGCTCAATGTACGGCTAAAAGATATTTGACTAATGTGCTATAAATGAGCCACCCTAACTGTCTGGTTCCTTTTCTTTTTCTTCACACCTTTAGTGGTATTAGGTAATAAGATGTGTTCGCAGGGTTGTAATGTGATGTCAAAACTCTGTTCCCGGTCGGTCTGTAATGAAAAATAACTCGCTACTCATGAGGCTGTCAAAAAAAAAATGTCTTGGAATTTGGAAGATTGAATGCGGTGAAAAAGAGGGTGACAGCCATCTTTAGATGAGGGCATCCCCAATTAAGTCAGAATTTTAAGCAGTGCATGTTAGTTTTTCAGGGTCTTCTGTCATTCTGATTTGTTTGTGCTGCATTGTTAGAATTTTTGTTTGTTTTGAAGGACTGGGCGAAGGAGGAGTACAACGGTGGCTGCCCCGTCAATGTCATGGCGCCTGGTCTGCTCACGTATTACCAGCCGAGCCTCAGGAACCCCTGTGGCAGGTAATCGCCCCGCTGATGACAATCATAATCACACTTCTCCCTCTCCGGTATTTTTAAACACGTCTTCCTTTTTTGTATTCTCACTTGGACAAACATGGAGATGAGGAAAAAATACCAAATCTCCCTAAGTGAATCCTTTTTCTGAGATTTGTTAGGGAGCTCATTTTAAATGAGATCCATTCTTTCCTTGGTGACAGGTGAGTGTTGGTTGTTTCTATCTTTTCTTTTACAGCTGAAACCATTTCATAAGCTTCCTTACCTTGTAGCAAATGCACACCACTCATAGACATGAGACCTTCGGTTGTCTGGAATGATAACATGGATGTTCAGATAACAAAAAAAGGCAAGAGGTCATCAGCAGCTTTATTCTCAGGGGAAAATGTCCCATAATCCATTTCTAATGGCTTGTCCAAGGATACACAGAACTGAATAAACGAGAGCGACTGGAAGGTAAGGGGATTCAGGTAATGCATTTCTATAATGACATCTAGTCTACAGGGAGCAGGAGAAGCTCATTACATAACGTGAGCGAAACAGCAGCCAGGGGATGGCGACCCCCTCATTCGCATTCTGCCCTTGTATGAAAAATGGATTTCCAAGGATGTGCTGTGACCTTGACCAACTCCAACACAAGAAAAATACCTTATTTAATTGCTCGAGAAATGACTGCATTAGCCTGGAGATGTGCGGTTTGAATTGAGATCCTTTGTTTCTCATTAGAGGGTGCATTACGGTTTCTGTAATAAGCCTAATGGTCTTGGAGCTGGATGAGTCGTTGGGCCGTTTGGCTCTGTGAGATGTTTACAGAGAACGAAAACACCTGTGGTATCTCATATTAATTCTCCTAATCCTTAGTCCTCAGTGACCCTGATTTAAGAAGTATGTTACTGATTTTTCTTTTTTAAATCTTTTTTATATGAAAGTCTACCCTAGCTTCAACTATTCAATTCAATTCAGTTTATTTATATAGCGCCAAATTCACAACACATGTCATCTCAAGGCACTTTAGTGTTCAGTTCAACCAGATCAGACAGTCAAATTGATACAAAGTTTTCTATCTAAGGAAAACCAGTTGATTGCATTGACTCAAATACAATCCCTCACACTAAGCATGCTTGTAGCGACAGTGGAGAGGAAAAACTCCCTTTTAACAGGAAGAAACCTCCAGCAGAACCAGGCTCAGTTTGAGCGGCCATCTGTTGAGGCCGACTGGGGTTCAAGGAGACAGAAGCAGAGACACAAAAGGCAACTGTAAAAGGCGGCCCCGTCTATGAAACACACAGCCAGGCAGACGAGCTCCGAGCCAGCTCCCATGCCAGAGGATGAAGAGAGCACATCCAGCCAGTCACGGTCAGAGAAACAGGACCACACTGGAAAACAGCCCGATCTCCAGGATCTATAAACAAGGGTGTTGATGGAAGCAGCACAGCTGATGTTTCTCTCCAGGATGGAGTCACAGCCAAACAGGAACAGACGAGGCAAAGCTACTCTGAGAAAAAACAGAGAGAGCAGAACATTAGAGATTGAACTAACAGATTCTGCAGAATAGGAGAATAGAGAGAGAATGAAGCAGAATGATGAAATGGGGGTCCCCATGTCCTCCAAAAGTCTAAACCTATAGCAGCATAACTACAGAGATAGTTCGGGATAACCTGAGCGACTCTAACTATAAGCTTTATCAAAAAGGAAAGTTTTAAGCCTAGTCTTAAAAGTAGACAGGGTGTCTGCCTCACGGACTAAAACTGGTAGTTGGTTCCACACACACCTAGATTTGCAGGTTCACTTCACAGCATTTAGATAAAAAAATGCTCAATGTCTATAAATCTAAGGACAATCCAGTGTAAAAACCTAATTTTCCTTGTCTCAAGATTTGCAATAATGGCTATAAATACATGCATTACTACCATGCCGTAAGTCCATGGTGATTGTTGTACCATGAGAAACTGTTCAAGGGAAACATTTTTTTCTCTTTAACGTTTTTTTTTCGCCTTTTAAAATTTTTTTTTTTTTGTCAAGCTATTAAATAATGATTCCCTTTATTAAGGGAGAATGTTCATTTGACAAAACACACCTAAATTAATAAAGTAATACCCACTAAAACTAATAATTGGTGTGCTTCGATTGGCATCAACAGAACTGCCATAAAGCGTTCGTTGTAAACCAAGAATGAGTTTGGACCGCTCAACGTTGTAGACTCTAAACTTTTGCGCTTTTGACCCACATAACCGTACCTGAGTCGACTCATGACCTAAACTACTGGTTGAACATACAAATATTTCTATAAAATAATTCACACCCTGATAATTCTCCTGTTAAAAGTCAATGTCTTCCATAATTTTGATCCCCAATACCTCTCAGATCTCCCTCACGTTGCTACCCCATCTTGAATCCTTACAGTAGGTCTTCCTCATCCATTCACCTTATTGAGGCTCCCGCGCCTCCTCACTATAGGGAACAAAGCTTTCTGCCACTCTGCTCCTAAACTCTGAAATTCACTCCATTCTGATATTTGCTATACTTATTCTTTACCTCAGTTTAAATCAAGGCTAAAAACGTATCTTCTTAGGACCGAATACCTCCACTGATTGCCTTTCATGTTTTTAATAATAATGTTTATTATGTTTGTTGTACAGTTTCCTTGTTTTTTTTTTATAGTCTCTTTAAATAATATGTATTTTTTATTATTTTAAACCATTAATATTACATAAAAAAGGAGCGTCAACAGACAAAATAGTCGATTTAGTCAGTTTTTAAGTGATGATTTTGTATGTTTAAGCACAATGTGTTACGCAACGCTGGGGGGTTTTGCAGGGATCCCTTTTGCATCCTGCATGGTGAATAGACGGCTTGGATCGGCTTAGACGGCTTGGATCTTGAGATCCAACTATATCAGGAAAATTCTGGCAGCTTTCATTTCTCATGATCTGATTCGCATCAAGTAACATTTGCTACTTGTTTATCTGTAGTTCATGGCTGAAATTGAACACACTAAGCTATTCATTCACAGGCCCTCCTGTGGTTGGTGTACTTTTAGAACAGCTGTTTTCTTTACAAGTCTGTCACCAAAAAATGTCACAGGATGTCATGGCCTTGTGGTTTGCATCAAACTCAAATACAGTGATTTTTTTTAACTTTATTCAATGTTGCTTGACATCACTTTTAGAATCAAGTGCTTACAGCAATGGTCTTCCATAATATATTTACAGTATTTATAGACCAGGAGGATTCCATTTATTACTCTTTCTTTAGATAAAATCATTATAGCAGTTTGTGCCTTTTACATGATATCGATAGATATATTTGCCTCAATATCTAAACACCATCAGCAGACTGAGATACTGTACCACAGCTTAGGAAAAAATATATCCTTAGTAACCTTTTTCTACAAGGTTACAGAGCTGTGCTTTAAATACAAAGAGAAAGAGCTCCACTGGGCTCCAAAATACATGCAGGCCTCTAAATGCATCCAGACTATAACAGTCAAGGTCTCCCAAGTGAGGTGCAAGCAAAATGAAATACACTGAGCCAAGAGATAAAGCCTTCACATGGAATAGGCAACAGCAGCTAAATGTTGCACAACCTTTTTTACAGATTCACCACTGAAAATTATTCATCCTCAAATTTGCATGTGATACTTAAAGCACATTGCTATCATGACAACACATTTATTGCCATGCATAGAAATGTAAATACATTAAAATTAAATATGGTAATAGTTTTTTTACAGGGTGTGAAGAAGTAAAAATATGAAAAGCATTAGTAGGAAGCTATGAACGCAATGGATTAGGATTTATTTTTTAGGTTATTTTTCCCCAAATTAAAAGTTGCACATAATTTAAAAACATAAAATAAATTAAAACTTTTCTAGTTGATTTTATTAAGGGAAATATAAAACCAACATATCCACTGGTGATGTAGTCAGATTGGCATGATTCAATACTAATGAATTATCTGCTACTAACCGCATTTTCTCAGAACACTAAAATTATTTTTTACATGCTGATCCAGGCTTTGTTACTGCCAGATAGATTAGATTGAGAAATGACCCGTTGGTCACATAACTCCTCCTCCAATGTGTGATGCCTGCGTCATCGTTGTTATTAGATGCTACTGTCGGGTAGCGACATTCTATGAAGACAGTAGGCCGCTGTGACAGCAAATCCCATAATGCTTTGCTCTCTGTGCAAAGCATTCTGGGATTTGAGATATGTATATTCTAGATATACCTGGGGTATATATCTCTTTCTTTTCTTTTCATACACTTTTCATACACCAATCAGATCAACAAAGCATAAGACGTACTAACAGAGCGACGACGAAAACACAACCACAAGCCAGGCACAAGCCAATTGATAGATCAAACTCTTGCCGAAACCAGTCGAGAGAAGAGCAAAAACATCTTTTCCTCTGAGAAAAGCCTCCAGAGCAGTGTTTTGCTTTTCTTTCAGTGAAGAAATACTCTGTAATTCCGATAAAACTTGCTCGATAGCCACGCTAACGCTAGTTTCATCGGCTGAAGCCGCCATGTTCTTTAGACTGAACTGTTGAGCTTCTCGTTGAGTCACACCTCAACCCGCCTCAAAGCCAACGCTGATTGGATATTCGTTTGGTGAACTGCTCCAAATTTTCTTTAACGGAAAGTAGCCAGACTCGCGAGATCAGGATGGTCTCACGAGGCTACAAATTTATGTCTGAATGTGCACATGCGCAGAAAAAGATTGCTAACTGGGAATGAGCACATAGGATGGCCTTACCTAAACATTTCAGCAGAATGGCAATTAGCAGGATCACTCATTAAGAGGATCCACCCAGACATAAAAGATCGTCCTCTATACCTTTAACGAAAAAAAACTTCCAATAATTAAAACACACAGTACTTTTGTTTGTATAGTTTTCTACACCTGCTGCTCACATTGTAAGCCATAATATCCTCTTAGACCAGAGGTCCGACGACAGTGTCTAACTTCACTTGCGCCACTTCTCCTGTTAATAAGGTAAAG